CTTGGCGCGTTGCACCTGGCCTTGGCGCGTTGCACCTGGCCTTGGCGCGTTGCACCTGGCCATGGCGCGTTGCACCTGGCCATGGCGCGTTGCACCTGGCCATGGCGCGTTGCACCTGGCCTTGGCGCGCTGCACCTGGCCATGGCGCGTTGCACCTGGCCTTGGCGCGTTGCACCTGGCCTTGGCGCGTTGCACCTGGCCATGGCGCGTTGCACCTGGCCATGGCGCGCTGCACGTGGCCATGGCGCGTTGCACCTGGCCTTGGCGCGTTGCACCTGGCCTTGGCGCGTTGCACCTGGCCATGGCGCGTTGCACCTGGCCATGGCGCGTTGCACCTGGCCATGGCGCGTTGCACCTGGCCATGGCGCGTTGCACCTGGCCATGGAGCGTTGCACCTGGCCATGGCGCGTTGCACCTGGCCATGGCGCGTTGCACCTGGCCATGGCGCGTTGCACCTGGCCTTGGCGCGTTGCACCTGGCCATGGCGCGTTGCACCTGGCCATGGCGCGTTGCACCTGGCCATGGCGCGTTGCACCTGGCCATGGCGCGTTGCACCTGGCCTTGGCGCGTTGCACCTGGCCATGGCGCGTTGCACCTGGCCATGGCGCGTTGCACCTGGCCTTGGCGCGTTGCACCTGGCCATGGCGCGTTGCACCTGGCCATGGCGCGTTGCACCTGGCCATGGCGCGTTGCACCTGGCCATGGCGCGTTGCACCTGGCCATAGCGCGTTGCACCTGGCCATGGCGCGTTGCACCTGGCCATGGCGCGTTGCACCTGGCCATGGCGCGTTGCACCTGGCCATGGCGCGTTGCACCTGGCCTTGGCGCGTTGCACCTGGCCATGGCGCGTTGCACCTGGCCATGGCGCGTTGCACCTGGCCATGGCGCGTTGCACCTGGCCATGGCGCGTTGCACCTGGCCTTGGCGCGTTGCACCTGGCCATGGCGCGTTGCACCTGGCCATGGCGCGTTGCACCTGGCCATGGCGCGTTGCACCTGGCCATGGCGCGTTGCACCTGGCCTTGGCGCGTTGCACCTGGCTATGGCGCGTTGCACCTGGCCTTGGCGCGTTGCACCTGGCCATGGCGCGTTGCACCTGGCCTTGGCGCGTTGCACCTGGCTATGGCGCGTTGCACCTGGCTATGGCGCGTTGCACCTGGCTCTTGGCGCGTTGCACCTGGCCTTGGCGCGTTGCACCTGGCCTTGGCGCGTTGCACCTGGCCTTGGCGCGTTGCACCTGTCCATGGCGCGTTGCACCTGTCCATGGCGCGTTGCACCTGGCCTTGGCGCGTTGCACCTGGCCATGGCGCGTTGCACCTGGCCTTGGCGCGTTGCACCTGGCCATGGCGCGTTGCACCTGGCCATGGCGCGTTGCACCTGGCCATGGCGCGTTGCACCTGGCCATGGCGCGTTGTACCTGGCCATGGCACGTTGCACCCGGCCTTGGCGCGTTGCACCTGGCCTTGGCGCGTTGCACCTGGCCTTGGCGCGTTGCACCTGGCCATGGCGCGTTGCACCTGGGCTTGGCGCGTTGCACCTGGCCTTGGCGCATTGCACCTGGCCATGGCGCGTTGCACCTGGCCATGGCGCGTTGCACCTGGCCATGGCGCGTTGTACCTGGCCTTGGCGCGTTGCACCCGGCCTTGGCGCGTTGCACCCGGCCTTGGCGCGTTGCACCTGGCCTTGGCGCGTTGCACCTGGCCTTGGCGCGTTGCACCTGGCCTTGCCGCGTTGCACCTGGCCATGGCGCGTTCCACCTGGCCTTGGCGCGTTGCACCTGGCCATGGCGCGTTGCACCTGGCCTTGGCGCGTTGCACCTGGCCTTGGCGCGTTGCACCTGGCCATGGCGCGTTGCACCTGGCCATTGCGCGTTGCACCTGGCCATGTCGCGTTGCACCTGGCCATGGCGCGTTGCACCTGGCCATGGCGCGTTGCACCTGGCCATGGCGCGTTGCACCTGGCCATGGCGCGCTGCACCTGGCCATGGCGCGTTGCACCTGGCCTTGGCGCGTTGCACCTGGCCTTGGCGCGTTGCACCTGGCCTTGCCGCGTTGCACCTGGCCATGGCGCGTTCCACCTGGCCTTGGCGCGTTGCACCTGGCCATGGCGCGTTGCACCTGGCCTTGGCGCGTTGCACCTGGCCTTGGCGCGTTGCACCTGGCCATGGCGCGTTGCACCTGGCCATGGCGCGTTGCACCTGGCCATGTCGCGTTGCACCTGGCCATGGCGCGTTGCACCTGGCCATGGCGCGTTGCACCTGGCCATGGCGCGTTGCACCTGGCCATGGCGCGTTGCACCTGGCCATGGCGCGTTGCACCTGGCCTTGGCGTGTTGCACCTGGCCTTGGCGCGTTGCACCTGGCCATGGCGCGTTGCACCTGGCCATGGCGCGTTGCACCTGGCCATGGCGCGTTGCACCTGGCCTTGGCGCGTTGCACCTGGCTATGGCGCGTTGCACCTGGCTATGGCGCGTTGCACCTGGCCTTGGCGCGTTGCACCTGGCCATGGCGCGTTGCACCTGGCCTTGGCGCGTTGCACCTGGCTATGGCGCGTTGCACCTGGCTATGGCGCGTTGCACCTGGCCTTGGCGCGTTGCACCTGGCCTTGGCGCGTTGCACCTGGCCATGGCGCGTTGCACCTGGCCTTGGCGCGTTGCACCTGGCCATGGCGCGTTGCACCTGTCCATGGCGCGTTGCACCTGGCCTTGGCGCGTTGCACCTGGCCATGGCGCGTTGCACCTGGCCTTGGCGCGTTGCACCTGGCCTTGGCGCGTTGCACCTGGCCATGGCGCGTTGCACCTGGCCATGGCGCGTTGCACCTGGCCATGGCGCGTTGCACCTGGCCATGGCGCGTTGTATCTGGCCTTGGCACGTTGCACCCGGCCTTGGCGCGTTGCACCTGGCCTTGGAGTGTTGCACCTGGCCTTGGCGCGTTGCACCTGGCCATGGCGCGTTGCACCTGGCCTTGGCGCGTTGCACCTGGCCTTGGCGCGTTGCACCTGGCCATGGCGCGTTGCACCTGGCCATGGCGCGTTGCACCTGGCCATGGCGCGTTGTACCTGGCCTTGGCGCGTTGCACCCGGCCTTGGCGCGTTGCACCTGGCCTTGGAGCGTTGCACCTGGCCTTGGCGCGTTGCACCTGGCCATGGCGCGTTGCACCTGGCCATGGCGCGCTGCACCTGGCCATGGCGCGTTGCACCTGGCCTTGGCGAGTTGCACCTGGCCTTGGCGCGTTGCACCTGGCCATGGCGCGTTGCACCTGGCCATGGCGCGTTGCACCTGGCCATGGCGCGTTGCACCTGGCCATGGCGCGTTGCACCTGGCCATGGCGCGTTGCACCTGGCCATGGCGCGTTGCACCTGGCCATGGCGCGTTGCACCTGGCCATGGCGCGTTGCACCTGGCCATGGCGCGTTGCACCTGGCCTTGGCGTGTTGCACCTGGCCTTGGCGCGTTGCACCTGGCCATGGCGCGTTGCACCTGGCCATGGCGCGTTGCACCTGGCCATGGCGCGTTCCACCTGGCCTTGGCGCGTTGCACCTGGCCATGGCGCGTTGCACCTGGCCTTGGCGCGTTGCACCTGGCCATGGCGCGTTGCACCTGGCCATGGCGCGTTGCACCTGGCCATGGCGCGTTGCACCTGGCCATGGCGCGTTGTACCTGGCCTTGGCGCGTTGCACCCGGCCTTGGCGCGTTGTACCTGGCCTTGGAGCGTTGCACCTGGCCTTGGCGCGTTGCACCTGGCCATGGCGCGTTGCACCTGGCCATGGCGCACTGCACCTGGCCATGGCGCGTTGCACCTGGCCTTGGCGCGTTGCACCTGGCCATGGCGCGTTGCACCTGGCCATGGCGCGTTGCACCTGGCCTTGGCGCGTTGCACCTGGCCTTGGCGCGTTGCACCTGGCCTTGGCGCGTTGCACCTGGCCATGGCGCGTTGCACCTGGCCTTGGCGCGTTGCACCTGGCCATGGCGCGTTGCACCTGGCCATGGCGCGTTGCACCTGGCCATGGCTCGTTGCACCTGGCCTTGGCGCGTTGCACCTGGCCTTGGCGCGGTGCACCTGGCCATGGCGCGTTGCACCTGGCCTTGGCGTGTTGACTAGGTGGCCAGATGGTAGCAGGGGCGAGGGTAGCAGGGGCGAGGGTAGCAGGGGCGTTGGCAGGAGAAGGCTCGTGTCAGAATCACACACGAATGCGCCCACTCCACACTCCATTCCACACTCCACTCCACACTTCACACTCCACTCCACACTCCACACTCCACTCGACACTCCACTCCAAACTCCACTCCACCACACTTCACACTCCACTCCACACTCCACTCCACACTCCACACTCCACTCCACACTCCACACACTCCACTCCACACTCCACTCCACACTCCACACTCCACACTCCACTCCACACTCCACTCCACACTCCACTCCACACTCCACTCCACACACTCCACTCCACACTCCACTCCACACTCCACACTCCACACTCCACTCCACACTCCACTCCACACTCCACGCTCCACTCCACACTCCACACTCCACACTCCACTCCACACTCCACTCCCCAATCCACATTCCACATTTCCCTCCTGCAACAGCTTCACGTGGCCAACTCCCCTAAGCTGCTGCTCACGCACACCCACCAGTTGCCTCACTTCCCTCTCCTCTTCACCTCCCCTCCTCTCCTCCCCTGCAACTCTCCTCTCCGGTCTCAATGCGAATGAGTTGCACGGCTGTCGCCACACACCTCTCTCTTGCACCAATCTCCCCATGCATCCTCCCTCCTTCCTCTCTCATTTCCTCTCCCCACCTCCCCATCTCCCCTCCCCCACTCACCTGCCTGCCTGCCACCGTGCTGCTGCTGGCTGCCACGAGCTGCAGCACCGCGGCTACAGTCGCCCTTGATTCCTCTCCACTCTCCTCTCCCCTCATCTCCCCTCATCTCCCCTCTGGCCCTCCTCTCCTCGCCCTACCCACCACTACACACTCTCCTCCCTCCCGCCCCTCACCTGCCCCAGCGTGCTGCTGGGCGCCATGAGGTGCAGCGCTGTGGGCGACGCCTCGTGCTGCCTGGCGGGCGGGATGGGGGGGGGGGCATGGGAGGGCGGGATGGGGGGGCGGGAAGGGGGAGGGGATAGGAAGGGGAGGATGGGAGGGCGAAATGGGTGGGAGAGGATGGGAGGGCGAAATGGGTGGGAGAGGATGGGAGAGCGAAATGGGTGGGAGAGGATGGGAGGGCGAAATGGGTGGGAGAGGATGGGAGGGCGAAATGGGTGGGAGAGGATGGGAGGGCGAAATGGGTGGGAGAGGATGGGAGGGCGGGATGGGGAAGAAGCCACACGGGATAGGGGCAGGGGGGGTGGAGTCAGGAAACGGGAGGGCGAATACACGAGGGGGGGTGGCAGCGGCAAGGGGAATGGCGTTTGGAAGCTGAAGAGAGGAAGGTGGGAAGGAGAGAAGGGGCAGGGGAGAAGGGGACGGGGGGAGAAGGGGAAGGGGAGATGGGGAAAGGGAAGGGGGGAAGGGGAAAGGGAGAGGGGAAAGGGAAGGGGAGAAGGGGAAGGGGAGAAGGGGAAGGGGAACGGGGAAGGGGAGAAGGGGAAGGGGAGAAGGGGAAGGGGAGAAGGGGAAGGGGAAGGGGAGAAGGGGAAGGGGAGAAGGGGAAGGGGAGAAGGGGAAGGGGAGAAGGGGAAGGGGAGAAGGGGAAGGGGAGAAGGGGAAGGGGAGAAGGGGAAGGGGGGAAGGGGAAGGGGAGAAGCAAGGACCAGTGGAGTCGGATGGGTGAGAGCGGCAGCGGCAGGACGACACGACGAGGCCGGGAGAGCACAGCAGCACAATGGACGGGAGAGAGAGAGAGGAAAGGAGAGAGAGAGGAAAGGAGAGAGAGAGGAAAGGAGAGAGAGGAAAGGAGAGAGAGAGGAAAGGAGAGAGAGAGGAAAGGAGAGAGAGAGGAAAGGAAACGCAAGACGGAACGGAAGGATGGATGGAAACGGGGAGGGAGGGAGATGGAAGTGGGGGCGGCGGGCGGCGGGTGTGGGGTGGGGGTTGAGGCGGGAAGGGGGGGATGGGGAGAGGAGAGCTCACTGCAGCAGGTGCATGGCGTGCCGGCGCTTCACCTTCTTCTCCTTCTCCTCCTGCCATGCAGCCCAGTGGCGCCGGTCACAGAGCGAGGGGAGAGGGTGGCGGGGGGGGGGGAATGGGGGAGGGAGAGAGGGGGAAGAATAACGGGTGAGGGGAAATGGTGAGGGCGAGGATGACTACAAGGCGCGCATCCAGCAGGCAGAGGCAGCTGTTGCACTCCTCGCCGCTCATCCGTCTCCGCCACACCCCCCTCAAGCCTCCCCTCGCCCACCTCCATCCCGCGCCCACACTACGCCCCCTTCCCCCATCCCCCTTTCCGCCCGCCTTTACCAGTCCCTACCTCCTGCGACCAGCTACAGCCACCCAGCACCCACCCCCCCTCCCCCTCCCTCTTGCGTGCTCGTCCAACCTGGATGCGCCGCATTTTCCTCTGCAGCCGCTTGCTGTTGCGCCGCTTCTTGCGCTCGTCCACCATCTCCACGTCATCGTTGTCCAGCGCCACGTCAGCAGCCACGTCAGCGTCAGAATCCGAGTCAGCTTGTGTCCCTTCCGTCCGCTGGTTGGCAGAAAAGCGAGGAGAGAAGGAGGCACGGGCATGAGGTGCAGGCATCAAGTGCGGCTTCTGCATCCACACTGCATGCGCCACCTCTTATAGCCCTTGCGAAACTGAAACAACCCCCCGTTTCTGTATGCCCCCGCTTACAACCCCAAACCCAAACCCCTGACCCCAACCCCTGATCCTCCTCCTTCAACCAACCACCACCACGGAAGCCCGCCCGGCCCTCAGTCGAGAGTCCAGCCGTGACGCAGCGGCGGGGGAGAGAGGGCTGCGGCGCCACTTCAGCGCACAGCTTGCCTAATGGCCTCCAGCGCGCCGCCCCCTCCCAACCCGCCCACCTCGCGCCGCTGCTCGCGCCCGCCGCGCGCCGACGGCGCGATGATGAGCGCGTTGCTGCCGCCGCCGACCTCCGTCGCGCCGCCGTCCGCCCCGAGCGCCAGCGGCGAGGCGCCATCATCCTGGAGTGCGCGCGCCGCGTCTGCCGGCCTGACACGCGGCGAGGGAGGAGGCGAGGGGGGAATGAGGGAGAGAGAGATGGGATGAGAGTGGAAGGGGAGGGGGAGGAAAGGGAGCGGGGGCGGGGGGGAAACTAAGAGGCCTGTGCGCGGGCTTTGCCCTTCCCCGCGAGAGCTGGAGCGGAAAGGAGAGCGCGCGGCTGGTCGCACACACGAGGCACGCCATGCCTGCGCGCCCCGCTCCTCCCGCACCTGGCGTTCCGCCTGCCCCGCTTCAGCTGCGCCTTCTTCTGCTTCGGCCGCCCCATCCCGCCACCCTCGCGCGCCCGCCTGCCGCCCCAAAGCTACCGGCTAAAGCTACCGGCTAAAGCTACCGGCTCTTCGCCGCCGCTGGCTGCCGCACGGGCGGCGGTGTGTGGCGCGCGGGAGGAAAACCGTGGGAGTGGAGAACGCGGGAAGGGCGGAGAGAACGGGAGGCGCGGAGAGAACGGGAGGCGCGGCGAGAATGGGACTCCCGCTCGGAGGCGCCTAGGAGGCGCGGAGAGGCCGCCCCGTGGCAGGGAGGAGGAGCAGGACGCGCAGGCGCGGCGACTCCAAGGCGGCTCCAGCAGCGACCTTCTGCAATAGGAGCTGCCCCGGCCCACGCTAAAGACACCTGTGACTCGAGCGTGCCTGAGTTTCTGGATTTAGCTAGGCTTTTGCTGATGCCACGATGGGGTTCTATGGTTCGTAGCCAGTTGCGAACTCGTTAGAACGAAACCGTCAAGAGAGGAATTGGTTTCCAAAACGTGTAAGGAAACTCAGGGCGCCCATGTCCTAACCAGGCCCTCGGATTGGTTCAGGGAGGGCTGATGACTCAGGGTCGCCCTTCTGACTGCCCATAGTTTTCAGGATCGGGGTCTGGCTGTGACACGTTTTGTCAGGCCTAAATTTTTCTAAGCCTGTCGAGTCAGGCTAGGCTTTGGGCAAGGCTGATTTGGGACGGTGTGATTAAGGGCAGATTCCGCTCCGAGTGTCAGACCTGAGGTCGAACTGCGGCCGAACGAGCCACGGGTTGTCACAACCTAACTGCGCGTTTAATTTTCTTGACGGTGCAGCAGCTGCATAGTCGTGAACTGTCGCAAGGGGAGGGTTGCAACTATACTAACCGAACTTTGCGAGTCCACCAGAATTTTTCGAAGTTATGATTGGTGAAAGTTCATTTACACGACATTGTTAGTTGACTGGCTGGAGCCGTTAGTTTTTCTCAAGACCCGAGGCAATTTTTTTCCACTTCCTTACTGGGCTCGACTACAGCGTGTACACCCTCGACTCTCAGAAGTCCAAGCCCGCCCAACTTCTTCGGCCCTGAACCACTTCGCAAACCCAAACCTAGACGCCGGACGCTTCCGTGGCTTTCGCCAAACAGATCGCCCCAACCTGTTCGCGTGGTTCTCAACTAGCTCTGTTCGTGCCTATAAATGCCTAGGCCCTCATTTGTATCGACACTCTTGAATCACGACTCCTTTATTACACTACATGTTATTACTATGATTAATTCATAACAGCTGGTATCAGAGCCCCGTTCCTGCCCGCTTAGTCTTCCGTAGAGTAGTCCGTTTATATTGGGAGAGGACCCGACAGAATAGGGGGTTGGCCTGCGGTTGATAGGTGAGCTCGTTAAAGCTCCTCCAACTAGAAGCGTCTGCACCCTCAGACCTGTCTGGTAAAATATCCAGCATGTCTATCATGCCGGAAACCTCTGTCCGTCGTAGTGTTAGGAACGTGACTCAGGAGGAGTTTGACGAGTTGCAAGCCAGTACGGCTATAGTGACAACACTGCAGGCCCAACTTCAACAACTCGCGGACAAGTTCGAGTTGCTGGGAAGCGAAGTTCAGATGCTATGCAACGAAAACTCGTCGCTTCGCCAGACGTGGGGTGAAACGCGTCAGGGGCGGCCTGTTACCCCAAACGAAGATGATGCGAGCGAAGCGAGGGCGTCGGCGACACCTGAAGCAGTTGAAGATGTCCACAGCGAGCCGCGGGCGGCCATTAAAAGCAAGCCTCCGATGCCCCCACCGTTCAACCCGACCGACAGGACAACTACAGTGAGCGGGTGGCTGTTCGCCATTGAAATCTTCTTCACCGCAGCAAGTATTAATGACAATGCATCACGTGTCAACTTGGCTTTGTCGCTGCTGAGGGGACCGGCACTCAACTGGTGGCGCATGCATCTAGACGAGGAAAGAGCCCCGGCAGGGAATCAACGGGCGGCAGATGGGGAGATGAGTTCATCAACGGCGAAGGCAGAACCATTCTTTGGATCGGCCACGATCCGTACGTGGAAAGCGTGGGACAAAGCGTTGAAGGGCAGATTCGAGCACATATCCATACGTGAAAATGCTCACACAAAGCTTCGGATGTGGAGACAGTTGGGCTCTGTCCAAGAATACACGGCGTCGTTTCTGGCAATCTGCGACCAAATCGGAGGGATAAGCGAAGACGAGAAAATTGATCGCTACGTGGGTGGTCTCAAGCCGGAGATTCAGCAAGAGATCGTCCTGCGAGCCCCGACAACTTTCAATGAAATTGTTCGCATCGCAGACGCGCTGGACGCACGACATGGACTCGCGAGAGCGAGTTTCTGGGAGGGAAATCGCTTTCGAGACCAGCCCCAACACACATCAATCAACGGCGTTGACGTGTTTGCAGCTCGAGTATTTTTGGGAACCTGCTTCCACTTCTACAGCTGGGTCACATGATGAGGGACTACCCGCAGCTGAAGATGAACTTAGCTAACGACAAGAAGTAATCGGGAAATCGAGATTGTCAGTAGCAGATGAGCCATCTACTGACTTGACTGCGTCGCCAAAACGCCACCACACCCACCAGGTTATAGTGCTGATTTGGGCTATCAACCATTCATGGCTGAATAAGGGGGTTGAACCAGTTGATCGCACTGTGCTGGTTGAAGGAAGAGTTGGCGACACCCGCATCAAAATATTCGTTGATGGTGGGGCGAGCCACAGTTTTGATGGACGTGACGAAGACGAAAAAATTGGGATTGCAGCTGGAGCGCTGCATGCCTGAAATTGATGCGTGATTTGTTGATGGCACACCCTTGGCAATTCGGGAGCAGGTACCTCACGTACGAGTAACATGCGGCGAAAATTTCAGTTTCATGACGAAGATGCTGGCGACAACTTTGGATGGCTGCGACATGCTGTTGGGATGCGATTGGCTGCGCGCATACAACTCGAGCATTGACTGGCGGACGGGTGACTGTCGCATCAAATGGAGTGGCGAGTGGCGATGACTATCCAAGTGGAGCTGTCAAGATTCGACCACATCGACGGTCAGCGCAGCAACGATCAAGCGAGCCATGATTCGAGGGGCACAACTGTATGCCGTCCGCTGGATCGCATCAACGGCTGTCGAGACGCCGACCGACATCGACAAACTCTGCGCGACTGTCCTGGATGACTTGGCGATGGTGATTCGGAAAGACGCCGACATTTTTCCAGACGACCTACCGGCGGGTTTGCCACCTGAGCGAGAACATGACCACAAAATCGAGCTGGAGAACGGCGTGCAGCCTACTGTTCGAAATCAATGGCGGCTGACTCAGCCCGAACTGGCTGAACTTCGAAGATGACTGCTACAAGACGGCGTTTCGGACCTAATACGAGAGCTACAAGTACACACTTACGCCTTTTGGCTGAACAAACACGCCTTCAACGTTCCAGTTAACCATGAACGAAGTTTTTCTGCCACTGCTAGATAAATGCATCATCGTGTACCTCGACGACATACTGGTCCACAGCACTTACCGGGAGCAGCATTTGAAGGATTCGGAAGCAGTTTTCTCTCTCTTGCAGCAGCACCGACTCATCACCAAGGGCTCTAAATGCGAGTTTCTCAAACACGAACTGGAGTTTTTGGGCCACGTCATTTCCATCGATTGCGTTAAAATCGACCCCCAAAAAATTGCGAGGATACAAGACTGGAAGCCGCCGGATAGTCTTTGTGAACTTCAAAGCTTTCTAGGGTTCGTGAATTACGTCCGCCGTTTCATTCCAAACATGGCGGGGGTAACTTCCCCTCTCACAAATCTACTGAAGAAGGGCACGTTTTATGAGTGGGGGGGAGAGCAACAGGCTGTGTTCGAACAGCTCAAACTTTTCCTGACTACACCTCCAGTCCTTCGGATTGCAAATCCTCACCGTCCATTCGAGCTCTTCACCAACGCTAGCGATTTGGTCGTTGGCGATGTACTGTTTCAAGATTTCGGCGAAGGCCTCCAACCCATCGCCTACGAGTCACGAAAGTTGAACCCGGCCGAGCGAAATTTTCCTGTCCACGACAAGGAGTTACTCGCCATCGTTCATGCTTTCAAAGTCTGGCGCTGCTACCTGACGGGGGCTGACGTGATAGTTCAAATAGACCACAAGTCGCTACAGTTAATCCACGCCCAACAGACACTGAATCCCTAACAGATTCGCTGGCTCGACTACCTTGAATCCAATTTCCACTACAGAGTCACCTACAACCAGGGGGTTAGCAACATCGCCGACGCACTGACCCGCCCTTCATTCCACATCCCCGCAGTCCTAATTACCCAAGCTAATCTGCTGCTAACTGGCCTATTCATCTACGGATACAGTACTGACCCATTCTTCACAACTGACATTCATCCCCAACTGACGGTCAAGAAAGGGGCCTACTACCTGAAATCTGGTACCAATCGGGATTGGGTTCCCGCCTACCGTACCCTACGAGAAATACCGATCCAGGAGGCACATGACTCGAATTTCTCAGGTCACTACGGCATTGACAAAACTGCCAAATTGCTGAGCCGTAATTATTTCTGGCCCAACCTACCGACAGACGTGCAGCAGTACGCCACCTCTTGCGCCACGTGTCAACGCATGAAGTCTTCTCGACTTTGACCTGCTGGATTGCTGCAGCCGCTCAAGCCACCCAGCCGACCCTGGCAACAAGTGACGATGGACTTCGTCACTGGCCTGCTAGCTGGTCCAAGCGGTAATGACGCAATCCTTGTCGTCGTTGACCGGTTGACCAAAATGTCCAAATTTGGCCGCCTGCACGACGACGATTACTGCCGAGTAGATAGCAAAACTGTTCCTCACGAACATCGTGCGGCTACACGGCATCCCCTCGACAATCATCAGTGATCGTGACCCACGGTTCACGTCCAACTTCTGGACAAAAACCTGGCAGCAGTACGGCACACGTCTGCATTTGTCCACGGCATACCACCTGCAATCGGACGGTCAGACTGAGCGCACCAACTAGACGATGGAGTAGCTGCTTCGCACGACATGCACAGACTCGGCCTAATGGGAAGACGCCCTTCCCTTGATTGATTTTGCGTACAACAATGCCCCATCGGCCACCACTACTCAGTCCCCGTTCTTCCTTAATTACGAGATAGATCCGACAACCCCTCTATCACCCCCGATAGAAATCCGGCACCAAGATCTTTGCAGTTCGTAAAAAATCTCTGACAATCTCAGCAAAACGCTGCCGATGCCATCCTCAAAGCCAATCAGAGGGCTTAGCAGAAAGTTGACCGACGACGCCGAGACTTAACGCTCGCCCCTGGGCAATTGGTCCTGCTCGACACAAAAAATTTGGGAATTCCCCTCCCAAATAAATTACGACCAAGATTTTGCGGCCGCATTATCCGCATGGTGACACCAGTCACTGCCCAGCTGCAACTGCTAGCTGGCTAGCGAATTCATGATTCATTTCACGTCAGTCTCCTATGGCCGCTCGTCCCAATTACG